ATTTATGATGTGATGAACGAGACGTCGGTAAAGAAGATATGGGAAACACTCGATGAAAAGTATCTTACTAAGAGCATTGAGAATCGGCTTCACTTGAAGAAGAGGTTTTACCAGTTCAAGATGAAGAGGGGAGTTTCCATCAGGGAGCATGTTAACAACTTCACGAAGCAACTTTCAGACATGACCAATGTGGATATTATGGTTGAGGATGAAAACAAAATGATGCTACTTTTGTGTTCGTTGCTCGAGGATGATTATGGTACCTTTGTTCTCACTATGATTAATGGAAAAACTACTGTTAGCTATAAGGAGGTGACTCAGCGTTGGTGAATTATGAGTTGATGAAGAGTGTTGATGAGTCATCCGAAAAGGTATCAGGAGATGCATTAGTAGTTCAAGGCCGTGGTTCAAACCGAAGCAGGAGGTCGCAGTCTAGAGGTGCACATCGTGGGATTCGTAGGAATCAGTGTGCTTTTTGTAAAGAGGATGAACATTGAAAAGCTGAATGCCCAAAGTTAGATCGAGCTGAGAAGAATAAGGGGAAAGTTGTACAAGCTTCAGATTCGGACTCTTCAGGCTATTTGTTATCCGCACTATCATCAGTTTGTGATGCCGACTCTACGGAGTGGATGTTGGATTCGGGTGTTTCTTATCACGTTTGCCCTAGGAGGGATTGGTTCTCCAGCTTTAAGAAGTTGGAAAGAGGGGATGTTATGCTCATGGGTAATAGACATGCATGCTCTATTGGTGGTATTGGTACTATTCGGATTAGGATGAGTGATGGGATGATGCGAGAGTTAGATGATGTGAGGTTCGTTCCGCAATTGAAGATGAACATCATTTCACTTGGAGCTTTGGAGGCAGCAAGTTATAGGGTGACATTGGTGGGCGCACGCTTGAAGGTCACATTGGGGTCCATGATTGTGATGAAGGGCATCAGAAGGAGCAATTTGTATTATTTTCTCGGATGCACGGCGATTGATAGGGAGCTGACGACTTCATCAGATTCGGCTAAACTGTGGCGTTGTTTGATGCCGGGTTATTTGATTGGTAATGTCGTGTATAGGTTGTTGATGAGTGCTTTGACCTGCAGTTTGAAGTCCTGTGAACCCATTGGTATGAGCAAGAAGACCGAGGTGGAGTTTGGCACTTCTATCCATCATTCGAGGGGTCTTCTGAGGGGTGTTCATTCAGGCATTCGGGGGCCTTTCAAGAGAGCATCATTGGGAGGCAATAGGTATGTGGTTTCCGTAGTTGGGGATTGTTCTAGGCATTGGTGGGTTGTAACCAAGTCCCGTTGGTGTGAAGTCCTAGAAGCCCGCAACAGATGGAGGAAGTGTGTTGGTAGAAAGGTAACTCGACGTTCTGATTATGGTAGGGGTTCTTTCTTGCGATTGTGCCGAGCTCACGGCAATAGGAGACACTTCATTGGTGTGGAAACTTTGAGGCGACGTGATGAGATGGCAGATTTGGGGAGCTGTTCCTTTCTGGAGGAGGATAAGCATTTGATGCTGAGCATTGGCATTGGTGTGCGGGCTACGACATGTTTGGGCTGTCTCATGTATAGGTTGCCGACTGCTGCATGTAGAGATATGGGATCTGATGGAGCTGCTTCAGATTTTGGGTTGCGTCGGATGTTTGGCTACCCAGTACTTGGTCACATCGTGGATGTGAGATTTGATCCGATAGCACATTTGGGATTCAGAGGCGTGTTTGATTATCAGGTATTGGCTTTTGACTTTGTTCTGAGCAGGTATGTCACGTTTGACTCTCGGTAGGTGGAGAGTGGTGATCAGATTTTTGGGACATCGCAGCGGGTGGAGAGTGATGCTACTCCACGTTGGGTTGAAACTCCAGATCATACTACATCATTTGGGATTCCAGCTGATGTGACACAGATTGGGAATCGTGTTGATTTGGATGCAGATGATAGGTTGATTGATTTGAGTACAGCTGATAGATATAATCTGGATATGGTCATTGGTTCATCTCAGATGGAGATGTTTGGATTATTTCAGTTTAGGACCATTGGAGGTGCTATCAGCCGTAGACTTGATCGTGATGTTGGAGAAGGGTTGCGAACTCTTCTAGTGGATTGAGGCCTTTGGAGGCCGTTTGGGTGAACTACGTGAAGGCTTGATTCCTTGGGCAAGAGGATACGTAAGCAGTCATTTATGATGCAGCTGATTTGGTGAGTAGATACCGACGTTTGGGTGAGTGTTCGCACTCCCGTTTGGGTCTCGACTTACTGTGGATTGAGTCCGTTGTTGTAGATCGTTTCACTTCGTACTGGACGCAACAAGTGAGGCATTTGGTTTGGTCGGTGTTGGCTCAGTTTTGAGAAAACTTCGCCGAGGTGGAGAATTGTTGGATAGCAGTATTCCTAATCTATTAGGATTCCTAATCTATTTTGGTAACATGAGGTTATTAGGATTCCTAATCTATTTTGGTAACATGAGGTTATTAGGATTCCTAATTTGTTTTGGCTTTTGGTTTAGAATTCCTAGTATGTTTATGATTTTAGGATTTCTATATATATGGAACAATTGGAAGAGAGAATTGAGAAGCAAATTGGGGATATTTGGAGCACAGAAAAGAGGTATTTTCTGAACTATTTGTTTAGAGTTTTGTTTGGAGAGATTAAGAGCTTGTTGGTGAGATTAGTTTGTTCCTTCGAGTGATTTGTAATCTTAATTTGTACTCTTTCTCTATTAGTGAAAACCTCATTCCCTTCTTGCCCCGTGGACGTAGGCAACTTGCCAAATCATGTAAATCTCTTGTGTTATTTGGTGATTGTGCTTGTTTATTTGGTTGTGATCTCTTTTGTTTGGATTGTGTGATTCGATCGTTTCCACACCGCGCACAACACTTCCAGATTGACAGATGCACTGGGCTCTCCTTTTGGACTTGCGACTGTCAAATTAACTTTCTCTTGAGCTCGTCAGCAACTCATTCACGTAAACTTTATTCACTTATTTTGAATCCATTAAATTAATATGTCTACTCAATAGACAAATGACGGTGAACGCATGCATGTATTACAGTATCGACGTATGGAAAATATTTGCTAGACTGTACGAGTACTACTTCTATACTATACATTTATGTCTTAACATTCTTATTTCTTACAATACAAGAATATATAGTGTAACTTTTAATGAATTGGTATAACTCAACTTTCATGTCTTTTAGTATGCATGTGGAGCTAAAAGCACTTCGGTTGAGTCAGTCTCGAATAGCTTGGGTTTTTAATAACAAGGAGAACATGAGGAGCAGCTTATGCTTCGCAGTTTATCTTAAAAAGAGAAAAAGAAAAAGGAAAAATATAAGAGGTCCGCTTACGAATCAAATAACGTCACCTCCATCATTAAACTGTGGGCATAATCTTTGAGTCTTAGGAAGTGTTTTTTGACGCCTCCACTTTAGTTTCACATGGACTATTGTGAAGAAATATTAGTGACATAAATAGAGAAGCCCAATCCTCAAGAACAACTAGTGCTAGCATTTTTACAGTGAGTTTTAGCGAACATCGAGTTGTTCTCGGTAGGTCGCACGGCTTGCACGCGCCAACAGGCCTGTGGGCCCAGGGCGTGACAAATGGTATCAGAGTAGTTGTCAACCGAAAGTGTGGAGCTAAATACTATACGGGACTAAGTGCTACATCATGTGGATGCGGTGGGAGCCACCTCTAGAGTCCACATCGTCTGGCAGTGATACTGGGATGTGCCAATTGTCATGTCGAGATGGCGAAGACGTCGTCTTTGTAAGGTGGGATGATTGTGACACCCCCATTTTAGTCCTACATGGACTAGTGTGAAAAAATATTAGTGACTTAAATAGAGAAGCTCAAGGCCCAAAAACAACTAGTGCTAGCATTTTGACAATTGGTTTTAGCCAACATCGAGTTGCTCTCGGTGGGTCTCACGGCTTGCACGCGCCAACAGGCTCGTGGGCCCGAGGCGTGACATGTTTGGGGGAGCTTATATTTGGATCAAACTAGCGTTTAAGCTAGCTAGTTTTTTCATATCTACGTATTTGGTAACATCTGAAATAAACTAACTTTAAAGCCTCATTTTAAAAAGTTGTGATTCTCTAACCTTTAAAAAATCAGCTTATAAACTCATCTAGATAAGCTAGATTTGACCAAACAAATGACTTTTTATGCCCATATAAGTTTTATCATATTTTTATTATAAAAGCCAAAAGCTGCCAAAAGTCAACATAGTTTATAAGATTTAAAACAGTAAGCTCTCTGAAACACCCTCTAATTAGTCTAATCAAAAAATCCCTTAACATTTCCGTTTTATTATGCAAGAAAGACTCAAATTTCTTGGATAGTGTAGGTTAGATTTACTCTTTATCTCAGAAACTACTGCCAAAATGTTTTCAAGATCTCTTTTGATAAAGCGTATAATTAAAGGGAAGGATCTATCCGTGATTAACGAAATAAAAAAAATAAAAAGTTTGCGTTAAAAATCTATTAGAGTACAAGGCGATTTTGCCTATTGTTGGAACCGATCCACAACCCACGATCATTGTACGAACGATCCAGGGGGGAAGATTCGGTGAACCAGTGTTTAATAAATATTTTAGGTTAATTACAGATAGACCCCTGTATTACCTTACAATTGCAAATGGACTCTCGTTTTGCAGATAAAAGAAACAATTTGATATTATCATCTGTTTAGCCTATCCGGAAAACACATATAATAACCTTAATTACTACGGACTGGACAACGAATACATTATTATTTGGTCGAAATTACCCAAAACCTAGTAGCAAGATATCTTCAAATTAAAAAAAAAATCAAAAAACTAATTAAATCGATCCAATTCCACATCATGTTCTATACAAACTAAAGAAATATCATTATTATCTCTTAACACTGGCAACCTTGAAATTATAATCTCGTAATTTTTTTTCCTTCCTATACTATATCTCTAAGCAACTGTATATATATATAACTAGCTCGATTATTTTCATTTTTCAAGCACTTGGAACCCTTCTTGCCTTGCATTTTCATCTGGGTTCTCTTCTCCTCTCTCTCTCTCTCTCTCTCTCTCCTCTCTCTCTCTCTCTCTCTCTGCCATGGCTTTTCCAAGAAAAAGCATCTGTAATTTTGTCTTTTTCGTGATGATGCTCTCATCTTTTGTGGGGAGCTCAGGAGAGTTTTATAAAGTTGGAGATAAAGTTGGATGGACACCAAATCATAATGTCAACTATAGTGCATGGGCATGTTCTAAAACATTCAGGACTGGAGATGTCCTTGGTGAGTTTATTATGTTAACTCTGTTTTTATTATAAAATAATTAAATAATTTTCTATGGCACAATCTGCAGTTGTAATCCAATTTCGAAAAAAAATTTGGCTTTCAAGCTAGAATTTTCTTTTTTTAATGGTTCAACTTCTAATCCTCTAATTTACATTCTTTTTCAATTTTGTTTCTATTTTTTAATCGTCATTACCACGAGTTTCACACTTATGAAGTTATCTAGAACTAAAAAAAACATTTCATCGATTTCTGTAGTTCATAGAACTTCATGATAATTATATTTTGTGTGATTTTTATTTCGGTTATATAGAAGAAAAAATATTGTAGATTATTTTTGTATCAATCTAATTTTAATTTTTTACGTGGACTTTTTATTGGAAAGATGGAGAAAAAGATTTACCCTCCATCAAAAATTAATAAAATAAAACAATATAGGAGCATCGAAGGATGATTTAGTTTGTTGAAATTTGCTTTTCATGAGATTTTATTTGGTACTTATGGAGTAAAATCATTTTGCAGTGATCATAATATAACTAAGATAAAGCTGATATTAGCAAATCATGATGAATATTTTTAGCGTATTCTATGCTTGTTAATGATCATAAACTTTTATATATGTTGATGTTTTGACGCATGAGGTGATCAGATTAATGACATTACTGTTATAACTAGAGAAATTTTTTTTAAAGAAATTGATTTCTGATAGAAAGGAAAGTTGTTATGTCATATCTATATCATTAGTTCATTACTAATAAATAATGAACTTAGCGAGGATAATGGAATATTAGATGGATGGAGGGATATTTTAATTGCGAGGGTAAAATCATAATTTTGTAAAAGAGATCCTTTTGCTTTCTTTTCTTTTTCTCTTATTTCTAAACCATTGTTGATTGTTGATATTTGAATTAATTTAAATAATTGAAATTATAAATTATTCTTTTTCGCTTTCTTTTCTTTTCTTTTTTTTTCTTATTTCTTTTTTCCTTTATTTTCTTTTTCTTTCTCATTTCTTATTTCTAGGATATTCTATATCATGATATGAAAATTGGATTTAAACTCGCAAAATTAAATTCCAATACTTTTTAGTTTCTTTTTTGTTTTAATTGCTTGTTCCAATTATATTATCCTTAAGAAGGACACTCTTCAACAAAATTGTACTAAGAAAATTTGTTGATTTAATTACTCTATAACAACATTACATAAATTAAATCATTGTCAAACTATTAGCATCTATATATAGGAGAGAATTAATTATATAACAAGTTAATATTTTTGCACATTCAAATGTGCTAGTATAATAATTTTCAAGTTTTGTGGGTGGAGCATTTATTAAGTGCAAGGCCCACATAATGTCAAGATCTGAGTGGAGGGAGCCTGCTCTTGAACATTCATGTCCGAGTCATGTACCCCCCATCCTACTTTTTAACATGCTCGCGATATCACTCACCGTCTTCTTTTTTTTTATTTTATTTTTTTTGGCCATTAATTTAATATCATCTTAGTTTGTGCGTTTAGTGACGGTTTAATTAACTATAATTATAATTGAAATGACGTTTAGTTGCTTGCTAATATTGTAAGAGCGCAAAAGAACGGTGACCTTTGGATCAGTGGTAGTAAATCATTAAATCTCTAATGTTATTGCATTGATTTCAAAGAGCTCTCCGTCCTTGCGCGCGCATAATATATATATATATATATATATATATATATATATATATATATATAGCTATATATTGAGAGAATTGAAGAAACTTGGTACCAAAGTTCCTTTAATTGAACTTGTAAGTGAGGTGGCCAAATCAGCCCCCTTACATCACGCTCTCAAAGATGGAGCACTATTTTTAAGAAGTAGGTGAAGGCCTCTCTCATCTTCGAGACGTGATGTGGGTGGGGCAATTTGGGGCCATCTCATACAAGTTCAAATGGAGAAACTTGATACCAAGTTTCTCTCTCTCTGCCTCTATATATATATATTATAATATATATAATATATATATAATATATATATATATATATATATATACTGAGAACTTATGTCAACTTAAGTTGACAAGAGCCCTTTTGCTCAGCTGACAAACTTTTATATACACTCATATATATATAATATATATATACAAAGTCACTTCATATCATATAAAGGAATCCCTAGGAAATATCTATGGTTAAGAAGTTTGGTGTGATATCAACTTAAGTTGACATAAGTTCTCTCCTCCTCTCTCTCTCTCTATATATATATATATTATATATATATAATATACTATATATATATATATATATATATATATATATTATATACAGAAGTTTCTCAGATCTCTCCTCTCTCTCTCTAATACTATACTATATATATATATATATATATACTATATAATATATACATATATATAATTATATCATATTCGGCTTGATAGCTTTTCTGACAGCTTGTTATTGTAGATGCTTAGTTAGGGGATGATTGGATTTCTAATTGGATTTATGACAGTAATAATTGTAATCCGAACCTTATTTACATCTTAAAAAAAGATTGCAGTTGTGACTTTCATCGATAGAAATTAATCTCTTTTCTGCAATTGTCTAGTTGAAATGAGACAAACAGCCAGAATTGACCCAAAAATGTCTCAGTTGCAAGCAACTTTCATTTTCTATCCATGATACGTTACTGCTCCCTCCCTTTCACGATGTGTGCAGGCTTTACATACAACAAGGAACACCACAATGTGATACAAGTGACCAGAGACGATTACCATTCATGCAACACATCCTCACCGCTCGCAACGTTCGCATCCGGCAACGATCATATTCCCATTATATGGAAAGGTCACTATTTCTACATATCTGCAGGCAAGAACGACTGTGCCCGTGGCCAGAAAGTCAATGTCAGGGTCGTCGTTGAAGGAGAAAGAGGAAATATTTACCAGGTTGGCGATGGAGAGGCATTGTTCGGTTCGAGCAATGTGAGCTACTCTGCATGGGTTTCTTCTAAGAACTTCAAGGTCGGAGACATACTAGGTGAGCTTACTTTTGCTACCTGTTAATTTTTGCATTGCTGTCGTCGTGGTTTACCTTCAACAACTATAAGAGAATAGGGATCTCCCTGCAACACAATGAAACGTCAAGGGAAATTTAGAGGTAATAAGTGGTGGTCTCTATAGCACAAGAGGCTTATTTGCAAATAGACAGAAGCAATACATCAATCCATGTTTTTAGGTGGTACGTCGAAGCCACAACAATTCAGACCCTCGACACTTTTTTCTTTCGTCGTAACTTTTGGCTCAAACAAGTGATATTGTACCAGTTACCATTACAAATCGTGTCACACGTTAATTTGTATTGATTGACATTTCCATACTAGTTTCTAATCACATTATGTAACTAAATACCGCAATTCTGCGATAAATAACATTACTATCTCCGTGATGTATAGTTTTCAGATACAACAATGAAGCCCAGAGCGTGATACAAGTGAGCAAAGAAGACTACCACAAATGTAACACTTCATCTCCAAGAGCAACCTTCAACTCTGGAAACGATCATATCCCCATCATGCACTATGGTCACTACTTCTATACCTCCAGCAACGCCACCCGCTGTGCCGCTGGCCAAAAAGTCGACATCAGGGTTCCATATCCTCCGGCTTTGATGTTGGGTCATGAGCCCCTTCCGGTATCTTTAGTTTCGGCTCCTGCGCCTGCACCAGCGAGGAGCGGAACGTACAAGAAGGGACTCAGTCTGGCTGTTGCTTTGGGTGCCATTGCAGCTGCAATTTGAAGTCTTATACGTTCTTAGGATATATTATCTCATAGTATTATGTGGAGAACAATTTAGAGTCATAGGTGCTATCTAGGAACAAGTAGGGTTGTTAGCGATTAAGATCTTTGTCTTTGTTTGAGTCCGTTATTTTTCATTACATTGCTTATATTGATTATTTATAGAAATTTAACCAAGGACACTGTTTTGATGCTTCTTTTGGCCTCCGATATTGCAGAGTATTAGGGTGTGCTTGGCAATTGCTTAAAACTGGGTCGCGCAGAATTGAACCTGACCCAATTTTTTCTTATTTTGTGTTTGGATAATAAAAAAGACCAAAATTGGCCCAGTTTTTTTAAGCCAAATTTTTGGCCTTTAAATGGGATCTTTTTCAAACCACCACCCCTATGGAATAACTCTAGCCCAGTATACGATAAAACCAGGCCAGGACCAATCTCCAGTTTTAAGGGTTTTGCCAAACTGGCCCTTAGTGTTATGACTAGTTGAGCATAAACAAATGATTTTGCGTCATGTCTATTCTGATATCATAACAAGAAACATTTTATCCAATTTTTTTTTAAGTTTTGGAATTATAAATTAAAGATTGTGAGAGATCAGAAAAACAAATGGTTTCTATAAATTTGTTCATACTCTTAATGGATTTTTTCACCAGATATTTTTACAGGAAGTTTGATCTTCTCATATATTGCCACTACGTTCAGCTTAACGACATTCATTCACGTCAAAGTTGGTTTTGTGCTGAAGACTGAAACTTGGTATCAGCCAAATAGTTTTTTTTAAGTCCAATATCCTAACTTTATTTCACTCATATATGGTAATTCATAGAGACTTTTAGCAGGACTACTGCTTTGATGTATAAACATCATTTTAGTCCTTTTTTGCTCCCATTTGCAAGGTTTTAATATTAGATATTGGGGAAATATCAGATATATGTGGGAAATATAAGGGTGCAATATTGGATGATGTGAATATATATGTTCTAAAATGTAATCTAAATATACATAATGAAATCTAAGCATACAAAATGAAAATAATATATGTTTAGGGTCACTAATTTACCTTTTAAAACACATAAAATTCTAACTCGGCATTGCAACATTTTGTCCAATTTTTTTTTGAGACCAAACGTCACGTGATATATTTGGAAAATCATCATTCACCCTAAAATTGCCAAAAGCGGTATATTGTTTACGACAAGGCATATAAAAAGGGCATATCGGCCAACATATTGGCGAAAATATTAGCCATGTTGGGGATATATCACCCATAATTGTCAAAAACAATGAATGATATCTAGACCATACCGTTTTGTTGCAAACCTTGTAAAAGGATGTATCAGCCGATATATTGGGCAATATCGGGGATATTTAAAACAAGCCCGTTTGATATTGCAAATTTGAACTTCTCAATCATAAAGATTCCAATTCATAAATGCTTATGACTACAAGTTTGATTCTTTATTATGATATCAACCTATCCAATTTGCAAGCCTATCATCGATCACATTAATAGCACTTTGGTACAATGAATAACTTAACTCCATATATTACCATATAGCATCAATCTTAACAGTAGAGGGACTAAAAGGACCTGGTTGTCACTGATGCGGTTTCCATAACTCTTCCAATGCACTGAAAATTTCTCACTCCACACAATTGGCTGCTTTCGGGGGTTCCAATGCAGAACCTCTAGGGACTGCAAATTTTATCACTTTTATTAACTACAGAATATCTGATAGTGGATCTTGTGGCTATTGCAGATCATAAGCTCTTCAATATTTTTTTCTTCATGAATATGCATTGTATTTCATCCTAATCACAGAAGAATTCCTGAATCCATATAAGTTCTAGTAAAATAGACTGCAAAGAAATATGTACATACAGGACAAAGCACTAAAAACTACATAAATTGTATTTAGTTAATGAGAAAAACAAACCTAGTTGTCAGTAGTAACAGAAATACCCAAAGGATCAATGTGCAGTTCTGTGCTATCTTTTGCAGTCAGCAGTTTCCTGATTGAATATTCTCACAGGTTTTCCTAGCTTTGATTTGTCTTGCAGTTGTGCAATCTCTAGAGCTTTTGCACAGATGGGAAAGCTCTTATCATCCCAAGAGTCCAAAATTACACCTGAACCAATGCAGCTATCACCATCATAGAAAGCTGCAAATTGACCTGCAGCTAAGCCCTGATCATCTTCCGATAGATCTACAGTCACGACCTCCCCATAGCCAGTGTCATCAGACTCCATAGTTATGCTGCAGTTATGAAAACTAGGACCATGTCGAACCTGAAACACATTAAGAAAAAGATAAAAAAAAATTCTGGCAGCTAATACTTCTGCTTTGCAATAAGATAGACATCTAAAAGGCAAAAAAAAGCAGATTTTACCTTGCACCGAAGTTGACTCTTCTTAGGTGGTGAGCCACTGATCCATTTCAATGTTCCCACACGGAACTTGCGCCTCTTTTTATCCAGTGAATAGTAGTTTCTTGAAACAAAGACTACGTTATTTTGCACATCCTTTTCAACAACATACCTGCATGTATATGGAACTCAACCATCAACGAACAATGTCACCTTTGCCATATGAGAGGGTAAGCCTTTTTAGAAAATCAATCTGGTTATCAGCACGATAAAGAAACTGAAACAATAATCAGAAAGATCTATACTCCCACAAATGAAGTTATACAAATTAACACATCAGATAGTATATACCATGGTCCTCCAGGAAGGCGCAGACCCTGGCGCTGGCCAACAGTATAAAACCAAAAACCCCTATGATCCCCAAGGTAATCTCCTGTCTCAGCTTCAAGAATTATACCCTCTTGCTCCCCAATATGCTTTGCAACAAATTCACTGAACTTCACCTACAAGTAAGAAGGTCCAATAAAAGGAAACAAGAATAAAAAAATTGCAATTAATATTTAAAAGAAATGCTCAAGAAAGTGTTGATTTAGATCGTAATCAATAAACAGCATCTGTTATCGAGTACTTTTAGATATTACGCTAAGAACTGACAGCATCTATCGGGAGAGAACTGCTCCCATGGCCTCTTCAAAATGGGGGCCTGCTTCTTGGAAATTGTTCAGGAGTTGACTATAGCAGCAAGCCCTGATGCACCTTGTCAAGGTGTTTATCCTGTCTCTGTAGGGCTCCCCAGTCAATAAACAAGGTAAATTGAGAGGTAAGGAGCAGTTTAAGCCGCAACAATGATATGTATCAGTATCGTGTCCAACGTGCCCCTAATACACACTACTTCAGTGACCACCAGAATAAACTTCAGGGAATTTGTCACATGCCTGTCCAAATCAACAATACTATGAAGCTTCTCCTGGTACTAATCTGATTGTCTTGCTCATCTTAGCAAAAGCACAGTTACAATTTGTTTCTTATTTTCCAGCCTACACCAAAACTGATTCTCAGCGGTGTTTTAAATATTAGCCGATAAACTAATATTATCAGCGATTTATCGGTTTTGGGGGCCTCCCGCTATGCTAAGTTTGATTTTAAATCGGTTATTGTTTTTAGATGTTTATTGGCTATAATGCAGCGATAAATTGAGTTTATTAGCCGATATTGTCAGCTCAAAATATTGGAATTACTGGCCTTTGGTTTGGTTTTTGGCTTGCTCTTTGGATGTTTAAGAAAAACTATGTGTTGCATTTGGAACATGGTTGTTTGGTGATTGATTAGATTATGTTTGTTTATGAATATTGACATGGCTCATAACCATAAAGTCTCAGCTTATTAAGTTCGTTTATAATCTCGTGATTACACAATAATTATGTTGATGACACAATAATTATGTTGATGATTCTTCATTCTTTATGTTATCTTGCTTTATGTTATCTTGCTATTTGAGTGTATGTTATTCCATTTTTACTAACTATGCACTCGAATGGTTTCATCGTGCGATAAAGAAGCAAGTTTCTACTATTGGTTAGTGATCTAAAACATGATTACTTACATTTTGGTATTTTTATGTTTCATTAAGTATGATTAGATTACATTTTAGGAAATTATATTATATATATAGACCATCCGGCAATATCACTCCAATAAATAATATAGCTCCGATATCCGCTGTCTGATATGGTTTTTGACCGTCCGATAAATCCCAGATAACCGATATCTAAAATCTTGATTCTCAGTATTGAATGTCTTTCCTTGAAGTATGGCTAGTTGAAGTGACATTAGACCAGATGTGAGTGATACTTCCACCCGTTATACAAGAGGACATGGAAGAAATGAATTTATAACATCCACTAATTTTTTAATAACGGTAAACAAAACAATGTTCAGGGAATACCATACTCAAACTGAACAGAATAAGAGTTTACCTTTCCAAGAAAACATATTCCTTGTGAATCCTTCCTGTCTTTATTTGGAAGATCCATCAGAGTTGCAAGCCTACGAACTTCGTCCTGTAGAAGGTTGTGCTATAAATAAAAATTATCTCATACATGTTTCACGCTAGCAAAGTGCACAAACTTACTGCCTTCTACTGAAGGGAAAAATAAAAACCATACAATAAACTAAGTCTCTGATTTGGCACGCTAAATACCATGTAAAGTAATAATCATTGCCTATAATTTTGCCTAACCTTTGAGATACAACCAAGCGGTAAAAGAAGCCGTTTAAGCTGCTTCTGTGATAGATGTGAGAGAAAATACGTCTGATCCTTAACCTGCAAACATTGGGCCGCAAAGGTCAAAAGACTTTATAGTATTTCGACTGCAGCAACTGAGGCGATTTACAGAAAGAACAAAACAATAATAAATTGGTTGATGACTTTAAAATTTCCAGGCCTCATCTCAGCTCTAGAAAGAATATTTTTTAAGATAATTTACCACGCAAGCATTTTAAAGCTTCAGGCTAAAAGGGCAATTTAGTCCCAGTACTAGGGCCTCCTACTCAAATTGGTCCTTGTACATTTTCCCCCCAACTTAGTCCCCGTAACCCTTATTAGATCTAAAGCTAGTTCTATTTTAACACTCCCTTGAAACTTCTGTTAAATAAAACCTCAAAGGACAAAACTACTCTGTTCTAAAATTTATGTATTTCTTCTAATTTTATTTCTTCCAGAATTATGATCAGCTTCTTGGCATAATAGGAGGTATTAAACTGCGGACTCGGTGGAAACATGCAGAGGATTTGCGCTTGTGGAGAATGCCATTGAGGACATTTTTTTGCCTTGAGAAGGTCACATTCAGTGAGTTGAAGAGCCCGACGAGATTCTTCACTTCGCCAGGAGAAGGTTGAAGGATCTGTGCTTTATGGAAACAAGTGAAGAAGAGGGAGAATAAGAACGGTTTCTTCATCTTGACGAGGGATTTGAACATTGGGATCAGTGAAGGATCTCACCTCGTTGGTAGAAGGGAGAGGGTTTATGCTTGTCAAGAAATTGCCGAAGACGAGGCAAGAAAAGACAAGATTCTTCATCTTGATCAGGGAGAGGAAGGGTCTCGTCACTGAGGTGCATCACATAGGAAGAAGGGTGAAGATCTGTGCTTGTGGAAGCAAGCGATGAAGAGGAGGGGACAAGGAAAATTTCCTTGATATTTGCAAATGGATGATCTAGATCAACAACATGCATCTTCAAAATGGATCTTAGGCTTTGTTGGTAGAAGGTCATCCAACTCTCGGCAGTTTCCTCCTTCAAAAATGGCTCAAATAAAAAAATCATTGGGTCGGTAACTGCAAGAGCCCACTCACATAAAATTAAGAGAAATATGTAAATGGGAAGATTGACATAAAAGAGAGAATACTCAAGGATGGAGGGAGAGAGACAAGTTGTTCCCTCAACAGATGCAATGACATATTGTAGCCTGCATTTCTTGACTTCAAGATCATTATTCCGGAAGAAATAAAATTAGAGAAATACATAAACTTTAGAATAGGGTAATTTTTTCCTTTGAGGTTTTATTTAATGAAAGTTTTAATGGAGTGTTAAAATAGGACTCACTCTAGATCTGATAAGGAGTAAAGAGGCTATGTTGAGAAAAAGAAAAAGTACGATGATTAATTTGAGTATGAGACCCTAGTATGGGGACCAATTGATCTTTTAGCCAAAGCTTAATAGATTCTAGTCTAAAGTTCATAATTTAGAACTTACTGAGGGAATTAATCCAGATAATAAACTATAAACTGAATTCAGTTCTTCCTCCCACAAATGATATCTTCTTGTCTGCATAGCACTTGGTCACAATAATGACAGTAACATAATGCCCTCTTTTACAATTAACTACAACAGAGCCAACAAACAGACCTTCTGTCCGAACTATTTGAGTGAGCTTCATAAAACTTTTCCTCAAGTCATCTTAGTTAAAGGATTATTTGTTAGTTACCTATATCTTTTTTAAAACTTCATCACTCCTTTCTTTTTTTCTTTTTATTATTATTATTTTATTTTATTTTTATTTTTTTATTTTTTTTTTTGGGGGGGGGGTGGCAGGGCAGGGGTCAGCCATAGTCCTAGTTGCTCCTTCAATTATGGTCATATGCTTTCTAACTGTTACACTTATCGGTCAGCATTAGCACCTCTACAACATGTCAAGTGGAGCTACTTCTCACTGTTAACAGTGGCATCCAATTTTATCCAATCTTTAATGATATTACTGCTCATCCAGCACATGTTCCCTAATACCCAATTCTTATCTGACCTTTCATGAGATTTTCCTTTCAAATTGATAGTGTGCCATTTGGCAAATGGTGCTTTATAAGCACTTATCTGTTATAGCCATACTGCTCAGATTCTATGTGAAGTCATAAAAAATGTGCAATATGTCAAAATTTATTAGCAACTGCACGCTTCACACTTCTCATGACTAAGTTGCCAAACAAGGCTGAATACAAAAAACCAAGCACTTACAGTTATGAAAAATGAAGTGATAAGAGAGTAGCAAGATATGTAATATTTTAGGTACCATGTCCTTAGACAATGATAGAATAGAAGGCATGTCATTTCCATCAAGGGATGAGTGAGTAACACGTGCATAATGTCCTGAAGCAACATAATCAAACTTCATGCTCTCAACTGCTTCCAGAAAAGCACCTAAACAAAAAAACAGACAGAAAATTATGGTCTAAATTGTATCCAAAAAAATTTGAACCCCTAAATTATCCATCAAGATGAAAAAATACCCACCAAACTTAATTCTTGTATTGCAAAGGACATCAGGATTTGGAGTACGACCAGAACGATACTCGCTGATTATGTGAGATACCTGAGAAATCAAGATATTAAATTCCAAACTAGAAACAGCTTAGCAAAGTAAGACGTGCTCTTCAAAAGAACTGATTTACCTAGATTTAACAACTATATAATACATATAGATAAACTACCAATCACTTTTATGAATAATTTAACTTTAAGAACATTCTCATGAATATTGAACATAATAAGTGGGTCCACTTTTCCCATCGTTGTCTGAGTATATACAAAATAAATATGTATGAGTAAAATGACTTAGAAATAATGCTAGATACACGATTCATGTTGTTACCACATTATTCCAGTACTCATCTGTCAAATGGGCAACTTCCAGAGGAACGTCAACCTACATCACAAATAAGTGAAACATGGTTCGTAAAATCATGCAAAAAAGAAAACAAAATGGTTATACACTTTAATAAAACACATAATTCATTAATAATAATAAAACAATAAACGGAAAATGGAAGAACACAGCTTCTTTTTCCATATACTTCCAACAGTGTGAATTCTAGCACAGAAGAAAAAGAGTGCATGTTAGAACTCTGTCACAACATTTGCACTTTCCATAATCTTCTAGGAAATCAATAAATTGGGGAAGATAGCATTTACAAGCACATTCATTGGCAATCTCTCGAAAGATTGCAGAAACAGACAACATTAAGGTATAATTCTGGAAGGAAGAAGAGGCAGAAGAGGGAGGGTGGGAGGGTGGGAACCTTTAAAACAAAATCAGAGAACATTTAGGTGTTATTTGGAAGCATTTGATAATCTTTCTTATGCAGCTGGACCAAGATTCACAAAATTGTCTGTTAATCTTCTGCAGCTAATTCAGTTTATGGATGTGTTTATGCCCATATCCAGATCAGAGAGCTTAATGATATGCAACATAAAGAAAGGTTGGAGGTCAACTACGGTCTGCAGTGCTATTGATGATTAAGTTTGTCTTAATTATTTTATTTAGATGCTTAGAAGGGTTTTCTTTTCGCCATAATTTTATTAGAGATGGCATATTTTTCTTGAATATTGAGTAAAGTACAAATATAATCTCAGCTTCCCTACATAAAGTGGAGGCCAAGACAGTTTACTACAAACATAACTTTTAATTAGCATTATAAGAACCTTTTATGATAGAATATGTGTGACTTGTTAAATACTATTTTGCATCGGTGTGCAATGGTGTTGCATAGATTAAGTTGGACCTCCAAGGCCTATATGTTGCTTAAGATTACGTTGGAGAACAGATATATATGATTGATCAAAGTATTCAGTCGCTCCAAATGTGTCTTGTATAAGATTAAGCTGATGCAAGGTGGTTTAGGTCATATAAAGAGATATTGGCCCAGCATCTTTCAAACAGAGATGTGCATCTTCAATATCTGTTGCTATGAAGGAAAAATCAATGGTGTCCTCATCAATCTCAGTATTTGTATGATTTATGATATTCTTAATTGCTCACCAAATTAACATGATAGTCTCTTGACTAACAACCATTGGAAACTAGAGATCACTACATCCACTCTTTCAACTAACTCAAGTTGTTAAAATAGATGTCCAGCAAGTTGTTAGCATCCAACATAGCTAGTACCCGGTATCCCTTTAAAGACTAAGAATAATAATTGCAAAAAGTAGCCCCGTAACCTGACACCAAGTTTGTGAAAGGTTAGATTGCTTGTTAATTGTAGTCCGAGTATTAGTTAAACTAGAATTATGCTGTAATGGACAATTTCAAGTTGTGCAACTTGGTTTCCCTTCAGAAGAAAATAAAATAGCAGAGACAACATCTGACCTTTTCGCAGACAGCTCTTGCGTACCTTAGATCGTCATCCCATGGGCACTCAGACCAGAAATTTTCAAAGTCTTCCTACGAAAAAATAAAGTATTAGTTACAGTTTAAGCAACTCCATTGAATCTTCATAATTTGAAATTAGAAAATTTAAGAAATATGAGAAGCATATGTCCAGTGGAACAAAAGATGCATGCCTTGTTATACCAAGATTGTGCAACTCAATATGACTTGCACAACATCATAATGGAGGTTTAATTCAAAGATCAAGATTATAGTTACTTTTAAAAAGGAAAAAAAAACAAACAAATATGAAAGGGCTACTACTGTTGGTTAGTTGCTCTATCACTTGATAGTTGATACACATTGCTAGCCAACACATTCATCAAGTTGAGCTCGTAAGCAAGGTGATGAGTCACATGGTATTAGAAAATATTATTTCAGAAAGCCCGCAATTGAGATCTCATTAATATATATATATATATACATATATATATATATACACACACACACAGACACACACTAGATTTTATGCACGTGCAATGCACGTGGTTAAATAGTGTGATTATATATTTTTGGTTTATTTTCTTACTATAATTTGTTCCTCGATTACACTTTGATTATTTATTTATTTGATGTTTGTTTGAATAGGCTACACCTAGTTTAAATTTTATGTTGATAGTTGAATTGTCATGAGATAAATATAATCTAAAGCCATTTAAATTTTCATTTCATTTAGATCGGCATGAAACCGAGCTTGACCTGAGGAAGTATAGTATTATGAAAGTGAAAACACTTGAAAAAATAACATTATAAAAAGAAGATGAATAATAAAGCCAACAAGCCAAGATGATTAATTTAAAGTAGGCTAAAATGACAGAAAATAGTTAATGCAAAAAATCATAAACTAAAGATTAATGCTAACTCTAGTACACTTTTATATGATAAAAGCATCCACATATGCATATGAAAGCACTAAAAATAGTTTTTGAAAATCCCTTCTAAAGATTCCTAATTTTACTAAAAAATAAAACTATTCTATAACAATTCACAAAACATTATCTTTTATTGCTTCTATTTTATTTTATTTTTTTGAGTCGAAATCAACCCTTCTTCGTCTTTATCTTTTTCCTGGGAATTCTAGAGTAGTGTCTTCATTGTCTACATCGATTGTGATATGAGACTGGAGCATGTTATCTTTTCTTGGGCTCATTCATCTTTAGTCTTCTCGTCTAAATTCACAAAGAAATTAAATATATTTCTTATGTTCAACACAAACTTATGACAATATGGACTTTGATTTTTTCCTGTTTTAATAAGAATAAATGTTAATTTCATATATATATAATTTTTTGTGCTTTTAATTTATTACTTAAATAAGGTTAGGAGCTACCTCTTTTTTCTCTGTAATAAATTCTTTTGTTGTGCATTCAATAAGAATTTCTGCTATGTCAGAATGTTACATTTGCTCTGTCTGTGTCATTTTCCATGATGATCTAAACTAAATACATTATATTTTTCATTGTCAATTTGTTTTAAATTATAATATTAATATTTAATTTTGATATATTTATTTCATGAAGAAGGGATATCACTTAACCTTGGTACTACATTATCGACGATTCTACAACATTTATTATTCAGACACTTATTATTAACATCTCTATCCACTTTCTTGTTGCAGCCTTTACAAACATAGAACCACTGCTCAACTCTATTATAAATGGTAGTTATCATTACCTTTAAGGTGTGATGGTGTGTCTGTATATTGGTAAATTATTCTTAAGTTTAATTATATGAATTTTAGAGTAGGTTTTCTAAGATCATACCTCTTTCGAATGTTATAATTGTTGTATATATTAGTAATTTAAATTTCTGCTGCATTTATAAAGAGTCTTAATGGAGATGTTTTTGTCTTGGTAACTTACTCTAAAAGAGCAATACATTTAGCTTTAAAATGTAATATTTTTTCTTTACGGTGTTATATGGATGTTTGCTTGGTTTACTTACTATTCTCTTATTTCTTTAGTAAGTTGTATCTTTGGATTGATATATATTATTGACGTAATTTACAATGATATGCATATCTCCTCTATAAATTTGAGATAGATATAAGGTGAATTTTATATTTAGTTATCTTTAATAAGAATTTTAGTAATAAAATATACTACCTTCATATTTAGAGATCTTGAATTCTAATAGTGCTATTACATCATTATCTTTGTTCGTGTCTTTAAGAATTGATCATTCGTTAGTAGTCATGCCTCTTAATAAAGTCACACGCAATGTCATGATATTATATAAGGAAAAGCATCGTCTTCTTGTGTGGTCTCACTGATCATCTGAACTGAACCATTGGTCCTCTTAGTCACGAAAGCTCTTCTTTTCCTCAAGAGAGGGGGCACGGGTCTTCGTCAGAGATCGATAGTTGACATTCGCTTTAGGAAGCGTCAGATAGAGATCGATCAAAAAAAGGAAAGGGCATTGAGGGCTCGGAAACTAAAAGAGCGTAGGCCAGTCAGGGATAGGAAAGCAATAGCTGAAGCTCGTCCTAATAGGGAAAAGGGAGCCCTTTCCAAGACCAACCTGCCATGCACCCACACTGAATCATTCCTTTTCTTCGATCTCGGCAATCCTACAATGAAGTCCATAGAAATATCTGTCCACTTCCATTCCGGAATGGGTAAAGGCTGTAGGGTTCCTAGATATGATAAAAGGAATGATTCTGTGTGGGTAACTTTATATTTTTTGCTTACGCAGAATCATGACATAGTAATTTTTATTTTATCTTCTATGAAGAATGTTTCTTTCATTAGAACAAAGTTGTTCAATATATTCTTCAGGAGGTATTCAGTCGATGTTTCTTTGATAAATATAACTTACGTTAGTGTCAATTAAAGTGATTCATGGACGTTCTGAATTCCATTTAAAATAAAAACTGCTTGATTCTTTTAAAGGATATCTTAAAATTTTCTAATAGTTTTCTATACATAAATTAGATGAGGGCATGGGAATGCCTAACAAGGTATCACAACCGCTAAGAATTAGAACACCTAAGTAACCCTTCAGAACGCCTAGTTAACACATCGGGCAAGTGGGTTCCCTCCTCCATCATGCATCATTCAAGTAGTAACTACAATCATTCTGTATATGTTAAAAAATCTAGAATTTTTGCATGTCGCTATCTGCCAAATGGCATTCAATTCATAGAATGTCATAAGCTGAATAGTCAATCCTTGAAGAAGCTAATGCCAATTCATAGAATGTCATAAGCTGAATAGTCAATCCTTGAAGAAGCTCAACGTTATTCATTACGAATAAAAGTGTTTGAAATGAATTATACTTCTAACACTACCTATATCCAACCAACTTCGTCAGTTCACATCAAAATGGAAACAAAATGCTCACAATTATGGTTTATTTGCACTTCCATAACCCAAAGTTTCACCCTTCCCAAACTTTGATACTCTGAATTTCTATTTTGACAATTTGACACCCCAAAGTTTTCAAATTGATGTTAATCTGACAATTGGATATCCCAACCACCCTAATTCCTCACTTTAAAAAACTGGAACCTGGAGAGTATCAAATGTCAAAATACAACTTCTATCAAAGTTTAAAAAAAGGGCGAAACTTTGGGGTATCAAAGAGCAAACCACCCATTTCTAGTCATACAAACCTATCAAAATCTCAACTTTCTCCGTTTCCCTGAGCTATTTCCCTCACCTGAAACCAAATCTTAAGGTAGAACGCGGTGCAAGAATGACCAGCAGCGTGGAGAAGGCGAAGAGCAACGCTGCTGTCCACGCCGCCGCTGAGGAGAACGGCGACCTTCAGCCGCCCTCCGGGCATCGAGCACCTGAGATAGGGATCGAGCTCGAGAGAGTTCGGGGAGATCGAAGGGATCAAAGGTGGGGTTTTTAGGGTTTCAGAGGAGAGGGGACCTGTAGCGAGAGGTCTTCTGGGGGTTTTGAGAGAGAGTTTAGCTAGGGTTTGGCGAGAGGGAGTGAAGATGGTGAGGTTTGGTTTGAAGAGAGAGGGGAAGGGAGAGAGACGTACTGCTGCCATTGCTCTCAGCATGAGATGATGGTTTTTTTTAGCGCTGGAGTCGGCTTTTTGGCGATCAGAAGGGGGAGAAGAGAAGGGATAGAATCATGTTTGCAGGGGAGAACAATTTTTCAAAACAGACCCCTTTAGAGTTTTATTTTTCAAAATCGACCGGTTTTTTTTTATTTATTAAAACCGACCCGATTTTGTGATTAGCAGCCTAATCACCATCCTAAATAGTCGGGGTTGCACCATCCTAAATAGTCGGGGTTGCCAACCCCGACTATTTAGGAGGGTATTAAACCCTAATTAGAAACCTTAAACACTAAAAATTAAGGTCCTAAATAGTCGGGGTTGCCAACCCCGACTATTTAGGAAGGTGATTAGCCGGTTAATCACAAAATCGGGTCGGTTTTGATAAATAAAAAAACCGGTCGATTTTAAAAAAAAAACTCTAAATGGGGCTGTTTTGAAAATTTGGTTCAATCAAGGGACAATACTAAGAACAAATTTTAAAAACAGCCTCAAATCGGTTTTTAATTTTCAAAACCGACCCAATTTTTTTTATTACCAAAATCGACTCACTTTTTATCACGTCAGCTTAATCTTATTTTCTAATTAGTCATGGTTGTTAACACTGACTATTTAGGACATAAAAAATCGGGTTTAAGACTTCTAATTGGGATTTAACAACCTCCTAAACAGTCGGGCTTGCCAACCCCGACTGTTTACTAAACAGTCGGGGTTGCCAACCCCGACTGTTTAGGAATGGGATTACGCTGACGTGGCAAAAAGTGGGTCGATTTTGGTAATAAAAAAAAAGTGGGTCGGTTTTGAAAATTAAAAACTGGTATAAGGCTGTTTTGAAAATTTGTTCCCAATACTAAACATATGCTATCGGCGAAAGTACCAAATTGGTATCTTTTGTTGATCATACATAACAAGTGTTGTATTATTTTTATTTTTTTTACTCCGGGTATGATATGATATATTTTGGGGTTGTTTGGTTCTTTTCCTAGATATAGGGAAATGCATTTCCATGTATAAAAACACAAGTTTTTAGTTTTTCAAACTTTTCTAAGAAATGGATTGTTTCGTTTTGGTTCGTACAAAAAAATGATGGGAAACCAATGTATTTATTTTTCTTGTGTTTGGTTTGCATGGAAAAAAAAGAAAAACTTTTGTTGATATTACATTTCTCACTTTTCTTGTGTTTGGTTGGTTTTGAAGTTTGTAGTGAAAAGTGTTTATGGTCACCATGGTAAGATTACCCCCACTATATTAAACAACATTTGTGCTCGTTATGTGATGTAATCTTAATTATATAAAAGTTCGAATGTAACATGAACAAATAATAACATCCCAAATGAATTATAATCTGACTTGTAATATACATGTTTCAGATTGAAAAATTCACACGAATCATGTACTAACCTGATTATTCATAAATTTATGTAGTTAAGTTGCATGAATTATCAAAAAAAACCGCTGAAACCTATAAAAACATATAAACAACATGAATAGACAAGCATATGTATATAACCTAGCAAATCGCACAAAACCATGCTTGAAAATAATTCCACAACACAAAACCAAGCTCATATGTATATAACCTAGCAAATCGCACAAAACCATGCTTGAAAATAATTCCACAACACAAAACCAAGCTCCACAAAGATCAGAACTGCACGAATAGAACTATGAAAACTTATAATTTATGAACTGTTACAATCCTTTATACGAGATTTTATCTGCATACAAAGTTTTAAAATTAACACGACTATGGCGTGATCTGCATTGAAGAATGAGGTTTGACATGAACTTCACCACTTGACCAGGTAGCACGACTATGGCGTGATCTGCTCTCCCCTCTCTCTTAGAGCACCTGACACATAAAAATAGACATAAACATGCAAACCAGTTTCTTACAGGTGATGAGCCTAAACGTGAAACAAGAATTTTAATTCCATATGATCGTAGCCTAAAATATAAATATTAGCCAATGTAAACTCGTTTCATGAAAACTTACTTCACAAAATACCCAGAGCAATAGTCATCCAGTATAATGTGTGCACATTGTAGGTTGTTTGCATCTTAGTAAATTGTATGGTGACTTATAAATATCCTGCAGTCACAAGTTTAATTTAAAGGTTAGTACACCATAATATTCACACTACGATATGTAATATTACAAAATAGAAGCAAATAACTATTTACTACAATAAAAATATAATATTACCTATTATCATACTATTCGACAACCACAAAAATAAACATAATCTCATAAAAGTAGTGTCTCTAAACCAAACAATATTAGTCTTTAACCATAATTAAAAAAGTTTCAAACATAAATGTGCTTAAGTGATAATCATAAAATACCACAAACACCCTTAATGTAACTACCTTCAATCCTCTTTGTTGAGAAATGACTCAATCATCTCCTTCTGACCAAAAAATGATATGCCCATAAATAGTCTAGATTCATGCTCATTCATAAAGAGGTGACGATAGTATCTATCTAACTTGGCAACATCAAAGTCATGTGAATGATCATATATGACCATGGATAACTTCTCGGTCCAATGCATATTTACACACTTCATGTTAGTGCTAAATACATCTATCTTATCCACCATTTTTAGCATGATCTCACTATTTAAGTTGGTCTTACGAGCCTTTACCTTGACGGAGGATGACTTAGCCTTAGAACTTGATGTGTTGAGTGCTTCCTTAGGAGGAGTGTGCTCATCATCTAAAATGTGTACTTGAGTAGATTGGGGAGAATGAGTTGGTGAGTTCGCCTCATCTCTAAGATTTATGGTCTCACTACGTCTAAACTTTTTCCAAATATCACTAGCAAATTGACCTGTAGCTTGATCATCCCCGATGATAAGGACGAGATCATCATAATGCCTCAAGGGTTTATTGACATATTGTCTAAGCTTAGCATTCTTAAAGCTCTTGTCCTGAGAAAAATAAATTTTAATTAATTCAATGATAACAACAAAAGAAATAAAAAAATAAATCTATTCTTTAACCAAAGTTTTTTTACCTCAATCCACCTATCCAAACATTCAGGATCCATGATGACAGTCTTCGTACTATCATCCCATCCGGCACCACTAAGATTACGATAAGTTTCCATATCACGAAATCTTGTTCGTAGAGTTTTTATGCGGTGCATAACATTATCCCACTTAAAAACTATGTTAAACATCTCTTTAATGTGTTGAGAAGCCATATGAAAAGCGGTTCTCTTAAGGTTTTTGTCAGGTTTGTAACCCTTTCTTACTAAGTCGGTAAGAAATGGAATGAGCTCATCATCATAACGGGAATCACAAAACAAATGTTTGGTCCCTTGAGAACCACCAGCTTCAGCATTATTTTTGGGTGTGGTGTTTTTCTTCTTCTTCTTTGGATTTGACGACGTTTCTACCCCTTCTTCTATGAGGTCCCGTTTGGAACCTGATCTGGAGTTGAACCATTACCACTAGTGGGAAAAAGCTGCACCCTACTAAGATTAGGACTGTGAAAGTATGGAGGCAAAGTTGGATTATTCAGCATGTTTGTATATGACCTCAGATGATGGTGCATTGGAAAGTAGTTGCTATCATGGAATGGCATATTCGGGTATGCTTGAGGTGGTTGAACAAAGTACAACTGCTGCAATGGAAAATACCCACCATCACCTTGATGCACCGACTGAGGGGGTTGAGGTGGTTGGGAAGGTGATGGAACTATCCCCTTGCCTTTTTTATTCTCTCTCCTACTCAATGATGTATTATCAGCCATTACTAATTAAATAGATAAAGTCAGATAACTGAAAGAATAACGATATGAATTCATAGATTTAAAGTAGAATGTAAATACTGGAAATAGAGTTATTTAGTACATATATGAGCATAAATAGAACATAAATAAAAATCAAGTCTCTATGGTTACACCATGATTATACTTATCACAGTAGTCCACCCATATCGCCCAAGCAATGTCATCCCTAAAAGTCTTCCACTCATTTCTTGATTCAGTTTGCTCTCTTTGGGTTTGATTTTGAGTAAAATCAACTAAATTTGTGTCATTCTCGAAGGCCACCTCACCATCAATGTCTTTATTAAATTGATCATCGTTGAGTAGTTCATCACTTAGATCCACAATTGTAATGAAATTATGGAGTACCGAGCATGCCAATACGATATCTACTTGTATAGGAAAAGGAAAATGCGGCTTAGCACACAAAATCTTAAAACGATTATTCAATGTGCCAAACACAGATTCAATCTTAGACCTCAATGAAGAATGTCTTAGATTGAATAATTTCCTTCTATTCTTTGGTGTTTTACCCGAATGTTCTTTCAAATGATATCGAACACCTTGGTATGGAGAGATGAAACCTTGCATGGTTGGGTACCCAGCATCACACAGATAGTATTTGCCTACAATTTTATTATAAGAAAATTGTTAAGTCAAGTTTGAATATTAAACTTATAAAATTTTAAGTTAAGTCTTTATTTAATTACCATCATAGACTCTCAATCCATGTGGTTATGGTCTAGACAATGCATCCTGAAGAATCCTATAATCATTTGCAGACCCCTCCCAACCTGCTAGAACATATGTGAACAACTTGTTTGGGGTGCAAGCTGCAAGCACATTTTGTGTAACACCTTTGTGGCCTCGAAATCGTGCAACAAGATTAATGGGAAGCATTGCATCAACATGAGTCCCATCTATCATTCCAATGCAATCCTATAATACGTGTATCACACATCTAAATTAAAATTTATTTACATTGATTATACTAACAAATGTGTTTAAAGTGTATATTTACCTTGAAATAAGGGTAGTATAGCGGGTTGTTAACGATCTCCTGGGGAATGTCATTGGGAGCTTATCTCATGTACCATCCACGCAGGCAAATAATTGCTTGTAATACCTTATTGAAATATCTACTAACTGTCTCCCCTGATCTTATAAAATGAGATCTGACACAACGATTTTTAGATTTATGACCCAGAATGTTCAGTGTCATGATAAGTTGTTCTTTCACTGTTACATTCCTTGAGTCTTTTAGCAGGCTATTGTTCCTCATTATACTCGCTAGTTTAACAAAAGCACCACTCCCCATTCTAATATAATTTACGCAACTATCACTAAAACCATTATAAATTCGCTCTATGTACTCAATTCTAGCTCTCTCGTCTTTTTTTCCCCTTATTTGGACCATTACGAATTGATTTAAATTTAGCTTGCATTCTCCTTATGACAGTAATTATTATAATTAAAACGGATAGGACATCACCTTGTACCATATTAACAACACTTTGTTCATCAGAACAATCACCATCATTATCCATCTACGATGCAAAAAATCATTACCTAGTTAGAAACTAAGTCGAATTCTAACAAAATCAGAACGAAACCGTAATTACAAAAGACTAACATGGATTACTACAATATCTAAGCAACAAATATTACAGTGACATAACTTACATTTAAAAATCTCAAATATATGAACTTTTAGCTCCTAAATTGAAAAAACTTATTAACAACACGCTAAAAAACATTTTAAAACTATCTAATAATCATATAATTAAAAAATTGATTTTTTTGTCTTCAGGTGGAAGGTCTATGTACAAATTTGGTTTCTTAGCTATAAAATCCACTTTTTCATTCTAAGTTCTTCACTTCTGTCAGTCTGGTATCGCTTTTCTTCAAGATTTATATAGACCATAAAGTTTTTGATGAATATTCTACACTGAAGCACTAATAATTTGTTAAATGGTACCAGAGTAGTTAATTTTGGATGATGTGATTACTATACAAGAGCTATAGTTGAAAAAATGATTAAAGGATGGATGACAAAAGGTAGCAGATCAAAAAATTCATTAGAATGGGTTAATGTTTAGAGAAACTTTATAAGAAATTAGAAATATCCGCATGTATAATAGTTATGTTCAGAGAAACATTACAATTTAGTCAAAAACTCATATTGGGTATTAGCATAAACTAATTTTAAAAACTAATTCTAAATTAACAAACGTTAAATTTGTAACCATTATTGGGACAAAACTTATTCTAAAATTACAAGTTTATAGGAAATTTCAGTCATAAATAATCAAAGCGAACCATTACTCATATTTTAAAAAAACATCAATCAGAACTTCTTTAACCAGTATATCTTCAACCAACAAGAAGTAAAATTACAATATTTATCAGTCATAAAAGGTGAATTTCATAAATAAACCAACGTGTTCAGATCTCAAAATCGACAACCATAAAGTAATTTTCAACCCCTCTGTGTGTGAAAAAACCTACAACCAAAAAGTAATTTTTCTCAAAATCAACTTTTTAAAGAACACAAAACCAATGTGTTCAGATCTGTTTAAACAATTTCCACACAAAACCAACTTTTTTAAGAACAAGCATAAACTAATTTTTCTGAAAATCCAAAATCCTACTCTAGGAAGATAAATTTTTTTACCAGATCTCAAATTTGGCATGAACTACTTCTTATCAAATATTAACCCTAGTCTCAGATCTGAATAGACAATTTTTACCATAATCTCAGATCTGAATAGGGACCGAAGAAAAAAATTAAAATAATAATCCGAATAGGGCACCAATTTCTCTGCTAAATTGATCTAAATTAAACTAATAATCCGAAAAATAAAAAAGATAGACAATTTTTACCTTCGTTTTGGAGGCAACAATGTCGACAAAGATCAGATCTGATAAATTGGTGGCACAAGATCAAATCTCACTCCCCCAATTTATTCGATTATAGGGGCAAAGAAGAGAGTGGGAGTTTATGGTGGGAGGAGAGAGGTACCTATTAGGGGCTGAAGGAAATCAATGACGAAGCCAGAAATCCGATGTGGCAAAGTTTTCGTCGATTTCACTCGGATGGGGAGGGAATCGGGAACGAAGAAAAAAACTGAGGTGGCGGCGATTTGCGGCTTCGTTTCCCTCTTCAGCCCTAGCGAAACAAAGCTGGGAAAAAAATAGCATGGAAATGAAAAATCTAAGGTGGAAGGGAAAAAGCTGATGTGGAGGGGTTGTTAAAGTTTTTCACAGGCCTTAAATGCGAACCAAACAGCCCATTTGTGTAAAAATACGACAAGTATTTTCTTTTCTTTTCTTTTTTTTGGATTTTTTCGATATTGGTCCCTTAAATCATAGTGAATTTGATATTAGTCCCTCAAATCTTCATATTTTGATACTAGTCTCTCAATTACACTTTAGCTATTGATATTGGCCCTTCTGTTAAGATCATGGTTAAAAATGATGACCTGTGGTTAGGTTAGTGCTACCTCTATGTGGGTAATTACCAAACTAACCCCCGCTCATTGAATTTGGATACTTTCAATCTTTTTCTTTATCGACACTTTCCCAATTGAGCAAAATCTCCCTCTTTCCCATAATTGTTTAAAATTAAAGGGGTGAAAGGAAGAAGATAAGCGTTTAAATGGGTTTGGGTTTGTAATTAATGGGTTTGAGGGTTGTAAATGGGTATGAGTTAAATAGATAATAGGTTTTGGTTTATAATCAGAGGGCTATAATGGTCAATCCACCAAAAAATGTTAGAGTTAACAGAATATTCCATTAAAGTTATAACATCAACTAACTACAGGACTAATATCAACACGCTAATAATTTTTAAGAGACTAATATCAAAATATAAAGATTTGAGGGGCTGATATCAAATTGCTAATGATTTAGGGGACTAATATTGAAAAGCCCTTTTTTGCGTGAGATGAAACACCCATGAGTTCAGTCACGTGATCACTCACGGGCGACCTAGGTGTTTGCCAATTTTGCGGGTAGCTCGGGTCATTTATATGAAGTAATAGGGTTTCTTTTTACAAATTAGGCTTAAAAAAGTTAGGGTTCGGTTTAGGGTTTTTTTTTCTTCCTCTTGGGTTTAAATTGTGCTAGGGCATCTGTAATTTTTGTTTAGAAATATTTCAATCTCCAATTTCAGTTGTTCTTATACAATTTAACCCTTAGAGAAAGAAGAACACCACCAAATAAAACCATAACTGTTTTGAGCCCTAACTTGTAAAAAAAAACCCTTTCAGCTCACATAAATGCCCAACTACCTGCCAAGTTAATAGTCACAGAGGACATGCATGGGTGGTCACATGACTGAACTCATCGGAATTTTGGCTCCGGTGAAATAATAGGAGTAGTTATTACCGTTTTGCACAAAAATATTTCATATTATCACCGAAGTAAGAAAATATATTTGTTGGCCTCTTTGTTTTGATGATGTTTAACAAATAATTTAACACTAATGTTGTTTGTCTAGTATTCGTGTTTTCTTATTTATTATAGACAAATAATATGTTGGAGGATGGATAGATTGTACCATAACGATCATATCAAATGGAGGTTGGCGGATATAGTGGTTGAAGCAATGCAATTCAAGTTTAAGATCCAAGTTCAAGCTTCATCCGTAAGATTACCAAGTAAAGCTATTGAAGATCAAGATCAAGTTTGGGTAATTTAATTTAGGTTTTATATTATGTGTGTTAGTACCTTAAGCTCAATCATATATACACACACATTTTAGTTTTGGTTTCTATGTATATATATAGTTATATATATACATACATGATTTTATAGTTTTCATGTTTATAAATATGAAATTACATTTTTCATATTTATTATTGTGTTTTGGTTTAGCTACATAGATATCAAACAACAAACAAATTTATTTACATTTTTATTTGTTTCATATTCTATTATGTTTCAGAATATATTGCATAGAATATGTAATTTTGTAAAAATATTATATTCTCAGGTTTTAGACTTAACAATAATCATATACATCTTTTATTAAGTCCACAAAATCATTTTATAATGTTTCAAAACATGGTTAAGCTAAAGTGTCAAAACTCATGTGTTTACATTTTCATGTTTTGGACTATTTTGCAAAATGATGATATTTTTTACTTGGGAGGTCCTTTCTAAAAACCAGTTTTTGTAGCATGTGTATTATCATATCTACAATCATTTTCCAAAGTTTTATATTTTTTTAGAATTTATTTGATATTTTTAAACAGTATTTTAAAATCAGAAAACTATTTATAAACTTGTATTTTCATATATCAGTCTGTGGTCGACCGCCACGGTCGACCGCGCCTATGTTTTTCCCTGAGGAGCCAGCAGAGACTTTCGCGATCGATTGTGACGGTCGACCGTCAGCCTGTAAGTTCCCACAGTCGACCGCCACGGTCGACCGTAGCTTTCTCTGTAGTTTTCTCATGCTTGTATATGCCTCGCGGTCGACCGCGAGAATTTCACGGTGGACCGCCGCACTGTCTTTTCTTTCCCAACGGCTATTTCATGCAGCTATTGTTTGGGGCTTTTTGGTCTTTTGTTTGGGGTTTTTTGGCTGAGGTTTTGGGAGGCTATAAATACCCCATTGATCTCAGTTCTCAAGATAACTAAGAGAGTATTTTAAAACAAGTTTAAAGAGTTTTAAACAAGGGTTTAAGTTTGTTTAAGAAGCTTTTAAGCATTTGGAAGTTTGTTTTGTGAAAACAATTTCACAAGAGCTTGAGAAAGATCATCTACATTGTTTGAGCATCCAACTCTTCTACCTCTCCTTCTTAATCTATTGAGAAGTTTTCTAAACTCTATTTCTAGCTTTACATCTATTTGTTTGATTATCATTTTATTAAAGCTAGTTTTATGTTGAGTTTAGTTGATTTGATTTCACTCATTGTTTACACACACCCACTTGAGCTTATTGTATTTGCATACATTGTATATTTGGGTTGGTGAGAGTTGTAACAATTAAGTGTAAGCTTTCATTGTGTTCTCATCCATATTAGAGAACAATCATTTATTGTAATTGTGTGCTTTTTGTGAGAATCACTTTGTAATACACTTGTACACCGAGAGAAGTATGTGGCGAGAGTCGGGGATCGTCCCAAGAGGAGTGGCGTCGGTTGACGAACCTAGGGAGAGGTTGTATCCGAGCACTTGAGGAAGACACGTCTAGTTCCAACATTTGAGAGGGTGTAGAGTGGGATTGCAAGAGTGTTGATTGTAAAGTTTTCAGTTAACTAGAAAACCGAGTGTGAGGTGTAAACGTTATTCGGGTGAACGTAGAAAACCCGATTATGATAGTGGATTTCTCCCCGGGAGTGGGGAGTGGAGACGTAGGATGGAAGGTCCGAACTCTGTGATCATTTGATTGTGTTTGAGTATGCTTTG